TGTAGACTAGACACTAGATAGCTCTTAGCTCGAAAAATGTACCAGATACTTACGAGCTACTTCTCGCGACGTTCTATTTTTAGGTCTGCCCAGGTATTGCAGCCCGTATCCAAAAGGCGGCTCAGGTCAAGTTGAAAGATACGATACTGACAGCCACCCGTGCTGTACATACGACCTGGCTATCGAAAATGACAGTCGAGAGCTAAGCGATGTGGATTGCATGAAGAGCCAATACCACGCTGCAGAAGGTACCTCCATTGCCAAATGTGAGGCGGTGATAAGTCCGGCGTCTCATCCCCGAGCTGAAGGAGTAGAGATGCCCGGCAGCCCAGCATTCGCATGATTGCCTTGGCGCACGAGCTCTGGTGATGATGTCGCTCTGAAAGGTGCTGGGAGGCTGGGAAGGTGAGGGTTGATCATGGACGATCTGGTGGGCGGAAATTGATGCGCCGATCTGACTAAGCAGCGGCCGTTTGAGTCGTGCAGCGTCATTCGCGCCATCTTTCCTCTCCGAGTCGGTTCACGCGACATCGCGACATTGCTGCCCTGATCAAGCCCTGGAGTGATCTCTTTCACGTGTTATCCATCCACCGAACGCCTCGTGCCTTCCCGCTCGACGTCGCGATAGTCGCACAACAGCCCACGGCTGCCTCCCTGATCCTCATCATCTCCGTAACGGCGTATCCGTCCCCGAAGCTCCGCCGTCGTCCTTTCATCCACCACGACACTCGCATCACCTACCAGCGCCACCATGGCTCCATCGCGGTCCCGAGCGCCACTGCTCTCAATACTCGCCCTCACATCCCTCCTTCCCTACACAGCCTATGCCTTTGACTGCAAAGACATCCTCGCAGATGGCCAGCACTTCAACTTCAAAGAGCTTGGCGGCCCGCACGTGGTTCATTACAAGGAGTCTGATATCGCCAAAGAGCTCGAGTGGAAGTACAACTTTACCATCGACATCTGCAGCAACCTCAAATGGCACAAAGGCGGTAGTCTGGCAACCGAGTGCCATCACGGGACCAGGGTGTGTGGGATCAGAGAGAACATCGATTTGAGCAGTGATGACAACTCCACCATTACTCCCATCGAAATCGCCGGAACATATCAGATGCAGAACGGGAGAAACATCGATGCCAAGTTTGAGAACCTCGGCAACTCCAAGAGCAACAATGATGCAGGATTAGAGGGTGTCAGGGCAACGCTGAACGGAGGCAGATTCCCGTTCAACGACAAGAAGGATGGCATAAACCAGCGTGCGATCATCGAATTCGTCTGCGACAAAGAGAGGACAGGACTGGAGGGTGACGAGATGGACAAGAGCCCGCACCAGGATGACGACAAGGAAGATGACGGAGGCGACAAAGGGGATGACAAGAAGGAGGGCGATGACAAGAAAGAAGAAAAGCTGAGGAGGAGAGAAGAGAACGGCAAGAGCAAGTGTGAGGACAACGACAACAGTCTGCGCTTCTGTGGCTACGACATGGAGACGGAACAGAAAGACAACAAAGTCCAGACACTGCGACTGCAATGGCGGACCAAGTACGCTTGTGCGGATGCGCCATCGCCGGACGGTGGCTCCCACTGGGGCTTCTTTGGCTGGTTCTTCATCATGTGAGTTGCATGACCTTATCTCTACATTTTTACAGTGTTCTAACAAGTACCCAGTCTCTTCCTCGCGATCGCTGCCTACCTCATCTTCGGGTCATGGCTCAACTATAACAGGTACGGAGCGCGCGGCTGGGACCTTCTGCCCCATGGAGACACGATCCGCGACATCCCGTACATTGCGAAAGATTTCGCGAGGAAGGTCATGGGGACTGTGCAAGGAGGCGGCAGCAGAGGAGGCTATGCTGCCGTGTAGAGCAACATGTCAACATTCTGGGATGGAATCTAGTGATGCAGCGATGCAGTGATGCAGGAGATGCTTGTAGGATACGCCTGGTGAGGAGGAAAGAGCATACAAGGCGCTGGAGTTATGGATTTGGCTCATGGTCAGCACTTGCGACACTTACCTAGATTTTGAGAGATGCGGAACGAGGAGTGATACAAACCTTGGATGCCTATTGAGTCGACGTGTGTTTCGTCGAGTATTGCTATCTTGAGCTTCCCATCATCATCCTACGTTCGAGAACACTGTTAGATTGCTTTGACCTTTGTTGTACATTCACATACACAATGTCACATGTATTGAAGTCACGGGATGTTATATATTGCCGTCACTTTTCGAGAATCGGGTGAAATAATTTCTCACTCTCTCCAGCGCCAGCCGTGCAAATGCCTGACCTCAATACCATGTTTGCAGGAAGCCAGTCCACGTCCAAGCCGCATCGCCGAAAGAAATCCGTGAGCTTCAGCCCAGAAACCAACTTTGAGCCTGGCCGGGCTACACATCAGTGGAAGCGCAAAAGCCCCACGTACTCAGCTGGGAAGTACAGTTGCCCACCAGATGTTGGAGCCTGGCTAGACACCAGCTTAATGAGCAACGAATTGGAACAGCTTCTCAACTTCAAAGTCCACGCCATCTTCCACGTCCGCAATGCAGACGAAATCGACGTCCTACACAATTCCTTCCACGCGCAAATGCGAGCAGGCCTACCGCTTCTTCCCGGCTCCCAAACACTTCTAAGAGACCATCCGCTTGGTTTTGAGGTTTTGAAAATCTACAAGGATCTGACTGAAGGCGGCGTTGCGTTTTCCAGTCTTACCGGAGGGGACTGGACGAGGGCGAAAGTGTTGGTTCTTTATCAGGATCAGAGGGATAAGTCTGTGACTTTCCAGTTTGTCAATGATATGAAGGAGGATCAAGAAGCTCACGAGTGGATACTGGATTTACAGCGGACTGTGCCTAAGAATAATGTGGGCTTGCCGAAGATGGCTAGGTTGATGAAGTGGAGGGATGATTGTTTTGTTGAGATGTGCGGTTTAGATGCGAATATGCAATTATAATTGAACCTTCGAGGAATATACGATGTTACAGTGAAAAGACTAGAGCTTTGGGTACGAGGTCAGTCGTCTGCTCACCGGATCTGACAACGCTGTAATGGAGTCCCAGCGCCACAATCGTTTCAACGTAGGGCTCGTTCTGCCGGCTCAGTTGCGTTGGCTGTACACAGATGGCAAAAGTCACAGTGAACGACAGCGCTCACCCGCAGCTGACAGCGCGGCCAACTCAAAAGCGAATCTTTGTTCCCAGAATACTTTCGTGTACAACCATTCCATAACCACATACATTGTTCGTCAACACATACACAATTACAACAGTGACTATCAATGACGGCTGGATCGCCAGCAGTAAATGCCATGTTGGCAAGCTTACTCCAAGACAAACTTCAAGTAACCCAGTCCGCCTTCCCTACTCAGGACGATTATACAAGCCATAGTCACATCGAAGAGCGACTGTCTGCCGCAGAGTGCCACCCACCACTCTCTTTTGACAATTCTCCCGGAAAAGCTAGCAACTTCGATAAGATTGGCCGTCACATTGGGGCTAGATGTGGACATTTGCTTCACCCCGACACTGACTGCGATGACGAATACTGCCCAGTGTGCAGAGTCGTAGCTTATCTGAATCTACTTCGACGCATCACTAAAGATTGGGATAGTAAAGGGGGCCCTTGGAGGCCACTTACAGGTCAAAGTACTGAAAATCGAGACGCCTACTGCCATATCTGGCACAAAAGAAGACTTGAGCTCGCACAGCTAGTGATACGGTACGGAGACGACGTAGAGAAAGAAGAGCGTTGGGAACAAGAGCACCCGGAAGAAGCTGAAGCGGCTCGGAAGACATGCTCGGCAGGCAATGCCGTGGTCATTGCGCGTGCTATGTCGAGGTATCCCGCGAAAGTAAGGACTGGCGACATCGCAGATCCAGACTGCCGCACCGGCACTCCAAAAATGTTGCCTGGAGCGACTACAAACCATCGCATCTCTTTACCGAAGGCTAGAGTTCCAAAGACAAAGCGTGTCCAATTCGCGTCCGACACAAACTTCAAAATCAGTCGACCCCGTGCAAGTTTCCACCGCAGCACGAAAGCATACGTACCGGGGAAACACGCAGCAACCTCGTCGAGCACCCTACTCAACACTTCGAACATGCGCATCAACCGCTACAACGTTCGGCAGCTCAAGATCATCAGGAAGCTTGATTGCCCCTGGAATATCGAGCTCATCGACGCCATCGCTTTGTCCAACCATGAGGGTATTGCAGAACTGCATCCTCGGTGGCCCGAGATCGGGGATAAGATATCGCGTATACACGATGGAAAAGACGAGGTGCCAAACGAGACGTTTATGAAAAGTCTGAGCACTGCGGATTACTTACTCGTGAAGACTGATGAGAAAGATCAGGTTACGCATGTTATACCGTATACAACGAGAGATATTGAGAATCTTCCAGGAGATGGTGCGGAAGAGGTTTGTAGGATGGGGATTAGAGGTTGGACATCGCATTTAGAAGTCATGTCGGAGGAATGTCGTGATGAGATCTGGAATACATACGAATGTGCAGGAGGTGCGACTAGGACGGAAGGCAATGGGCGTAGGTAGGAAGACGACAAGAGTGTTGGGATCTCAGACGCGAGAGATTGAACGCCACAGTTGTATATCAAAAAACATCTGGGCCCCAGGAGGTTTTCCTGAGCCAGCTGTAACGCGAGGACATGTGGATGATTACGATGTGACGCGCATCGATCTGAACAACGACCGGTTGGGTATGACGTAGACGTAGCGCTCTCAACTGAAGCTGATGCATTCATCCTACAATGCATTGTTAGTGCCCTGACTCTTCTTGAATGATTCATCGCAATGACCCAAGAACCCATGACTGCGCACTGTGCAAACACCTTCTTCTCAGTGGATCTTCCACTTGCCATTCGCTATTGCGCATTCACTCCCAGAACAGTCGACGGAAACAAACTCGAGAATGATCACGGGCTTTCTGGCAATGTTTTGCGATCCTCCAATACTCACTCATTCACGCCAGCGCAACCTTCCACACCATGCCCTCTTCCATAGCCGAGTACGTTCCCGCAGCCATTCTCTTCTCGCCTGAAGATGTGCAGCACTTCACTAAGTGGCAGGAAGAGCACGGAGTAGGCTCGCTGCCTGGTATTGTTCGAAATGCCACAGAGTATTGCGAGTTTCGTGCATATCGACGCACTTACGAAGACAACAAAAAGCTCAAGCGCGGTAACACACGGACGCGTAACAGAAATCCTGCAAACATGTGCGGACATGGACTTCATCCTTCAGATATCATCACCGGCGGATATTGCCCAGTCTGCGAAGTGGAAATGTGTCTCCAGTTCCTCGATGCGCTCGGCAAGGTATTCCAGAGATGTGGCGGCCCTTGGCAGCAAGCGCGCGTTCGCAATGAGTTCGCTCTAGTCAGACAGTGTTGGCACCTGGCGCGCTTTCAATTAGTCGAGCTTGTGGAGCTTCTGGACTGCTCGCAAAAGTACGAAGATGCCTGGGAGAAACAACATCCAGGCGACGTAGGGTGTATGTGGACGACCAACAGCTCTTCGAAAGCGATACGTAATGCCCAGATGCAAACGAAATACCCGGCTGTACTGACGCATGTCAGCTTCAGATCTGCAGTGAAGCGAAAGCTCTCGTCGTTGGATGTAGCGCGAGCGAAAGTCGCGAAGGCTCGAGTGAAGAAACACGTCACTTTCACACCGGACACCAACACCTGGACCACCCGCAGCAACGCCTGCTTCTGTCGCAACCCAGCGCAGCGCCAAAATTACCAACCTGGCAGGCATGCTGCTCCACTTGGAATGGAGTGGATTGACACATCGCGAACGTCTTCTTCCATAGCAGATCTTCTGAACCTGAAGGTATACGCTACCTGTATCCAGGCTGAATTTGACGCCTTGGTCGACGACTCGTCTCTCAGACCACCTAGTCGCTATCAGGGTATACTAAGCCTCCACCCCGGTATTGGAGCGATCTCAGCATTCGCCAACCAGTTCTTGCAAGGGGCGGAAACGGCGAGGGAGGAGATGCTCGAGATGATCAGCGTGGCTGATGCCCTTATAGTGCTCATCGGCGAGGGGGACGTGGTGTTAGATTTGCATCTTTCTATTTCGGACGATGTGGAGGATGAGGATGGTTATGGCGACGAAGAGGTGGATCAGACAAGGTGGGCCTGCTGGTCTGAGTGCGGCAATGAGGCAAAGCCTGACGTTGGTGGAGCAGCTGGTATAGCTGCCAAATTCGCTGTTGACGACGAGAAGGCGCGAAAATGTCGGAAGACGGCTGGGTAGCATAACTGCGACGCATGTCACTTTTACAGAATGTTGAATAGTGACTTATTGAACTGTCTAGACCTGGAGTTTGTAAAGCAAGTAGGCATACCAACCGTAGTCTTGTTAGTATACGTTTATTGCGTGCGCTTTTGATTCTGGGTGAGTGGCGGTTGATTTTCGCGGTCGAGGGGAGAAGCCAGATAAAAAGATGGGCATCGGAGGATCATTGAATGCATGTATTGATGGTCCTTTCGCTGGTGATGCGCAGTGGTAGGTAGAGATGAAGTTCGCGTAACGCGCCGAAAGACGCGCCAGTCTCGCGCCTGCCCAGGTGGGCTGTTCCGCCCCGCCGCATCCATCTTCTTTGTTCACCCTTCATTTGCCACCGCCCAATAAAAGATTCTGTATGTAAATGAACCTGCAGCCTCGTGCATCGACTGAGATGCGCATGAGCTCCAGGCAGGCATCAGGCCCCCAGTGTAGCGATGCGCGCTGGACGGCGGGCCGGCTACGCATGTCACCGGCAACAGCACTTCCTAAGCAGCGAGGCATCCCGTCGCAGCCTTGCGCTAGGCTTGTACAGCTCTAGCAATCCGCCCAGATGCTCTGCTCGTTGCGATATAAAGCATGGCATGCGACGTGTCCCTTGAGAGCCATCCCATCTCAACACCAGCATGGCTCTCATTACGCTGCCACCGGAGCTCAAGCTAAATATAGCTGACAGCTTGGACCCGGACTCAACTCTCAATTTCGCCCTTACCTGCAGAGACCATGCGACACTGCTCAAATCCTTGTTGAGACAGCATGCACGACTACTTGCGAAATGGAAGGTCATCGACACGACCGATGCTCGTACGCTTCTTTGGGAGACCTTGAGAGACGTAATAGCAAACCCTCGACTAGGGTGGTACATCAGGGAACTCAATCTTCCAGAAAGCCGGCAATACAATTGGAATGCGAACGAGAGTTTGCGCAATTCCCACCCAAAGCATGGCGTTGTGCCATCCGAAGAAGACAAGGCCTTGTTCATTGAGGCAGCAAGGGGGCTGCAAGATCTGTACCCGGGGTTTGGCGTAGATGAATCGAATCTGCTGAGACGATACTCTCATGCCTTCAACTTTTCACCTCGCCCGTACGACACGATTGGATCTATCGAAGATCGAATTCACGCAGGCTTCGAGGACGCCATTGTCGCGATCCTTCTGCACCATCTACCTTATCTCACGACCATCAGACATTCAGAAGTCGGCATGGAGGACTGTCTGGAACTTGTTCTATGGCAGATCGCGTTAGGATACAAGAACCCGGTCATGGCACCAAAGCTTCCCCTACAACATCTCAAGACGGTCGCCGTGCGTTACGCTCTGGACGAAGGAAGCAGCTCTCCTGATTGGGCGTGTTTTTATCTCAGTATCCCTTCGGTAAAGACGTTTGTAGGGCAAGCAATGGGTGGTTCGCCTAGCGAGGACGTCCTACGCACTTTATTCCCCACAGGTGCTGCTCCGTGCTCTAACGTGGAAGAGCTATTCTTCAGACATTCTGTCTTCGATGTGGATGGCCTAGCAACCATACTCGCGAACATTCGGCATCTAAAGAAGCTAACGTACAACGGTGGTGATGCTCTGGTGTCCGATTCGAGCTGGTACGAACCAAAGAAAGTCATCCGAGCAGTTGCTACACACGCCGGCCGCTCGTTGGAAGAGCTCATGCTCAGCGAGGAGGACACGGATGTAAGTCACCAACCCCCGTCAATGTTCCGAACTGATATGAGTTGACAGAGTGAACCTCCTGAGGATGGCCCAGCGATTGTTTCTCTCCGAGAGTTCCAGAAGCTCCGTGTACTCCACTGTCAATGGCGCATGCTTCGCCCCGACATGGCAAAAGAGGAAGACCCTGAACATGACGAGCCGCTAGAACAAGGCTATTACCGAAAGGAGGATTACGAACAGATTGATGTCGACTTCGACGTAAGGACCCTTCTCCCAGAGTCCTTAGAAGAGTTTTATATGAACGGCGATTTCCACGACTATGATGAATGGGAGCACATGGAAAATACAGTCAAGGCCTCAAGCGCCTTCACGCCCCGCCTGAGTATTGATAAGACCTGTATTAAGAAAGGAGGTTATTGGAGTGATCGAATCGGTACCGCAGAGGAACCGGATGGAGCCTGGTCTCATCCGCTCGGCCGCCTTTTCGAAGGTCATCATGGTTAAACTCGACAAACTATATGTCTCATCTCATTCTCGATTGTAACAGGGGCACCAAGTTTCGGGTCTGTGCGCGCTTGCTAGGCACACGAGAATTGCTATAGCAGTGCGCACGGCTTCTCATCGTTCATCGTAGCGGGTCCTCTTCTCCCAATGACGCACTGGAAGAATTGACCATGCGCCAAGAAACACGACGAGAACTAAGGGAGAGCTGGTGCCTAGACACCCCTTTCGCATATATATATACGCGCGCATATCCAGCAGCATTACAAAAGACCACTATACAGCACACCTCTACAGTGCGCGCTTCTTCCTATAGCTCTACTGCCAATCAACGAGCGAGCATTTCGCGCCAGACCCTAACATCCAATCTCCCCAAGACAATATTACGATGGCTCCTCGAACCGTCCATACAATCGGAGGCCGCTACAAAAGCATCAAAGCTGTGGAAGATGCGCCATTCGCAGAGTTCATCTCAGTGAGAGAGACCGGGCTCAAATTCAATGTCGTCCACCCAGTCCCGGCCGCGTATCTGCGTGACCTGCACTCTCGCGAACGCGCTGCGGTCCACAAACATATTACCGCTGAGCTTTTTGGTAACAGCTACAAAGACGTCGAATTTGTTGAAGCGGTAGAAGAAACCCTGAGTTTGTTGGAGACGGTCCAACAGGATATGGATCATGATCGCTCGACCACTGCGGACCTAACGACCACGGATACGACCAGCAATCGGACTTACCACACGGCAAGAGAGCATCAGGAGTCACGGGGCAAACATTCCTGCATGCACGTGGAGGCTGACACCAATGTCATGAGCGGCTCAAGGTCAGGCGCCCTTGATCGTAGCCGGAATATAGATAAATGGAAGAGCACCGTACTTCCTGGCTACCCACCGCCTTCCGCCAGTACGCCAAGCTCGATCTTTCAGTCTGAGAGTGGCAGTGAATCACGATCATCCAGCTCCAGCAAGATGCGCAAGCCTAGCAGGCACACCGACTTCCTCAAGGACGCAAAGCTCGACGAGAAGACACGCGTTTTAGTCGTGGAGCACAGCGCTGCAAGCCGCGAACTGGCGCTTCAAGAAGAGCATCTTGCCAGTCTCGAGTCGCTTGCTTTGACCGTCAACAGCTCAGCTGCGCGGCGCAATCTATACGGCGCTATTCGGAAAGCTCGCAGTGCAGTCGAGAAGGTGCGCGTCCTCGAACGCAAGTGCAAGGGCGCCTTGTCTGACTCCCGCGCGCTTGTAGTGGATGCTCTGGAGCTCGCTGATGATCTGTGGGAGACGTCAGAAGCGGATGCGGAAGAAGCATCAACCGTTTCTTCGCCAACCACGGTTCATTCGTCGACAAAGACTTCATCGCGGACAACCGGTTCTTCCCCGACACAGCGGAGCATATCTACTGCACCATCGGAACCTGAGTCTTTGGTGCCGGCCCGCTTTCCCTCTCCCTCGGAAGTAGTTTCACTGAAGCGCGAACTGCAAGAGATCGACGACAGTCTTTCCGAGTCGATGAGGACTTTGAACCAGGTCATCACCCAATCACGCTATCGAGAAGGCGTAATCGAAAGCATAGACCGCGCGCGGGCATGCCTCGACAAAGTTCACATCAGGGGAGAGCGCTACTCAGGCCTAGACGACGAAAAGATTCGCAAATTCGGATTTGCAACGCTTGCCATCGCGCGGACAAGGCATGAGAAAGCTATGCGCGTTCTCGATGCAGCCAAGCAAGAGCAATTGCGACTGGACGGCCCTACGCAAGCAAAAAGTAGTGGAAAAACGCGCGAGACCGAGCGCCAAAAGCCTTCGCGAGTGGAAGAAGATTTCGATCAGATGGTCCATCGTTTCTCGCAATTTGATTGCGGGGACTCCGAGGAGCTTCTGCGTCAGCAACAAGAGGTTCTTCAACAGGTTGCTAACTACCGTGCCGCTGAGGCATACAACAGACGCCGTCAAATGGGTCAAAGTTTGTATGATCAATTTCTGCAGGCAGGTGCACCGGATGCTCACAGGCGGCCAAGTTCGTCATCGTCGGATTTGCCGCCATTTCCGTTCCTCGATCCGAGTCAGTTCAGGGGCGTTTGGAAATAGCAATTCTCGCTAGGGCATACACGTATGTAGCACGCACAGTAAATAGAGATAAAATATCAATCCTGTATCGGCTTTTCGCTATATCACTCCAAAAATAGTGGGTTACTAACTTCCAAAATCTACAACAACAGTGAAGTGGCTGGTGTCGACTGGCAGATTCTGCGATCGGGTCACCGAAGGCGACAAAAAATCGGTTCTTGACAAATTCGGGACCGATGGGTCCCGCAACACACACGAGATACAAGATGACTGAATCCGCCCATTAAATATGGAAGGGATGCGAAAGAGGTCGGGACCGATGGGTCGCGACCATGGTGAAGGTGGCTGCAACGGGTCGCTTGAGAGACTGGACAGCTCACACACGTTCGATCTTTTCACTAACCCTACTAAATTCCCTACTACTGCCTTCATCTGCAGCCACTGAGGAGAGGTGAAAGCTCTCAGTTGTGACATTACTCGATCTGCTGATGGCTATGCGACCGCGTTCGGCCATAGCTATATAAGAGCGCCTCATCTACAGCTGTCAGCGATTTGTCTACCCCTACTTCAACCCTGGTATAACTTACAGCTTTGAACGATATCTACAAGCTGCCAAAGGGTTACGCCGGTGTTATCAGCTCGCCGTCAAACTATCCAAAACCCACCTTCCACACCAGTCCCAAGGGCGGATTGTCTTCTCAGGCTGCTTGCAGGTCTACAAGCCCAACCTCTCCGACAACAACAACATGGCTTCTAGGAGTCGCACACTTCACACCATTTACGGCCAATACCGTACTGCAGCGGCTGTCAGCAGGGCAGCTAATGCCGATTACATCCCGTTGAACGGCGATCGTAACATCAATGCCGTACACCCAATTCCGATTGACTGGCTGGACGAAGAGCTATTGCCGAGCGAGCGCGATCAAGTCCGGGAACATGTTGCGTCTCTACTGAGTAGTCAGCGACGCCAAGTTCCCAGTTTCGTCGAAGCTTTACAGGGTACCATGGAGAATCTGAACACCATCAGGAATAGGGGTACAGCTGCTCGCAGCATTCCCGCGCGTCGATCTGGAGGCGAGACAATCGATCGTCTGGCGGACGACTTCGACACTTTGACCATGGGACAAGCGCATGGCGTCAACTCACCGTCACGTAACGTGCGGTTTGCAGAGACGGTTCGGACAGATCGTGTTTCCCGAGACCCTGCAATCCCTGGTCCCTATAGTCCACAGCCGTCCTCACCGACTCCTCGAAGTATTATGCGCTCGCCTGGGCATTCTCGCGCAAACTCAGCTGAAGCGATCCTCAGCCATGGGGCATTACCTCCACGCGATGCTCAAGTGCCCTCGCCCACCGACGGCTACAGTGAAGAACTCGTTGCACTAGATGTACAACTCGACGAGATCTACGCGGCTCTCAACAACCAATCTCGTACCGAAGACCATGGGTTATCGGAGCAGCGGTTCGATAGCCTTGCGCAAGCTCGCTCCATGATTCGCCGCCTGAGAGGACTACGTCGTCTCAATCAAATGGACATTGACACGGCTCGCGCTGCTGTACAATCAGTGATGACAAGCACTGGACAACATGACACCGCTGCTGCCACGAACGCTGGGAGTAGATCGGGACACATGGGTCGTGAGCCGTTTCATGGTACCCGTGGGACGCGGAGACCGCGTCCAGTAAGTGGAAGCTTCAGCAGCATGGGAGAGCGGCTGCGCCTAGCGGCAGTACAGCATGACCAGCGTCTGTTCGCTCATGCCAACGGCATGTTCCCAGTTTGGAGTTCACCTCCCGTTGACCCTCAATATGGGGACGGCATTCAACGGCCCGACGGCACTATTTACTGCTGGGGGCCTATGGGTGGATGGCTGATGTACCATGGCCGCGATGGGGCCTATTTTTGTGAGTAGGCGTGTGATTCTGTACCTAGGTACCTGGGTAACATACAGAGCGCAAAGGTCGGGTTAGGAGTGCGCATCCATAGAGGGACCAAGATAGAGGCAGAATCGGAACTTCAAATCATGCGAATGTACTATATCAATGTGCTCATCAGGGTGCGCACACGTGCTAGAAACGGGAGCGACGAACTAACCAACTGGGCCGTGTTCAAACATTCCGTCGGCGCTAGCTGCTCCGAGGTCCTTCCGGCGATGAGCTGACCTGAACCACTGCCCGCTTGCCATCACCACACAACATACACGTTGCGCGTCATAACACTTTCCTCATCTCAATGATCAGCCCCGATGAGGATCAGACCGCAGTCTGCGTCAAAAGCGCACTCTATTCATTCTTACTTTCCTACATACATGACACCTGGTACCTCGTTTACTTTGTCATTTGCCGCTCCGCGTCTCATTCTCCAAGTTCCGCTTCAATAACACTCTCAGCAACCCCGGGGTAATTGTAGATGGCTAGGAACTTCAGACCAGCCTTTTCAACTATCGCTCTCCACTCCGCTTCTGTTCTCTCGCGTACCGAAAGATGTGCTAACATCATCATATCCATAGAGGTGGCGGCGATGGTGGGCTTTTCTTCTGAAAGCACAATTTCGTTCAGCAGCACCCGTGAGTAGCCGGGTTTCAGCGCTGGCTTCAGGCTTTCGAGAATTTTGACGCCTTCTTCGTCATTCCAGTCGTGGAGAATCGAGTGCAGTGAGTACGCCCTGGCTGACTGAATAGGCTGAGGCGTATAGAAATCATGGACCTGACTCTCAAAAGGAAGCTCTTCCTTGTCCTTGATAGCCGCGATGACTGGCTCTCGATCCTGAAGAATGACTTTGCCCGGATGAGACTGGTGCTGCGCCACGAATTGCTGGACATCGTGACCACGACCGCCACCGACATCTACCAGAAGGGCCTCGCTGCAGCTGGAGTCAAAGCCATTGATCAGACGTTCTGCGACCGGATAGAAGCCGGGGTCGAACCAATTCGCCTTGCCTGCGCGATACACCGACATGAAGTTGTCGAACTCGTCGAGATGAGGAGGCGTTGCGACCAGCCATGGGAAAAAAGGCAAATCTGTTCCATGCGCATCTTGCAATGGTCCTTCTGTAGGCGACGTGGGTAGCCTGTAATCACTCTTCTTAAGATAATCCGGGAAGCCATTGAACGACGGTCGTGACACGTCGTAGCAGAAGTCAATGCTCTTCTGATAGTTGTCCGCTGCGAGTTCATGGCTCAGACGGGTACCGAGGAATCTACCGTTCGAGAAAGAAACGATCTTCATAGCGATTAGGTGACGCATGATCCGTTGCAATAGAATGGGGTCAACGCTCGTCTTTTGAGCAAGGTCGCCCGGACTAACTCCGGCATCGCCTGCATCTCTAAGATGCTGGAAGAGTTTGACTTCAACAGCGAACTTGCAGTGCGCTGACAATGCCGGCTGCAAATTCATCAGTATGCTGGTAACAGTGCAGGTTCAGTCACGAACCTCGGCCCAGAAACTTCTCTGCAGGAATTCACTGGGTATCTCGAGCGCCGCAACCAGGTCTCGACCAAGCTCGATGAGACTTTCTCGCGAGCCGATTTGCTCGGCTTCGTAAGCTCTGCCAGCGGCCGCAACACGCTCGAGGATATCTGGTACAGGTGTTGGCATGTCTGGCGACGAATGTTCGTTCTGCAATGTTTGTCAAAGGATAGAGAAAGAAGCGCGGGGCAGACTTCTATTGCAATCCTTCGTTCCTTTCGCACGATAGCCGTCGTTCGGTGCGGCTCTTGCCTTCCTATTGCGCCATGCGCCGAAGTACACATGACTCATTTTCCCGCCTGGTCGCTCAGCGCTTAGTCGTCTCCGCGATGTTTGGATCTTGGATTAGCTGCGTTGTGATACAAGGGCCTGATATCCTCATTCTCTTCACGGTCTCTTGCTCGTCCGACCCAGTGAACTTCGGGAGTGTTCAACAGCGCGAATCCCACACCCGCTGTGTTGGATCAATACGTTTGGAACATCGCCTACCAAACGCTTATCGCCTGCGTGCTTGTTATATTTGCCTGCGTGCTTGTTACATTTGCCGGCATGACGTTTCCGGAGACAGGCATCCGTCCGTGCCGCCCCGTCCATCGTTGGCCCACTTGGTCTGGCACTAGATCCTTCGCGGATGCATGAACAGACACTTCGAGCCGCACCTGTTGAAGCACCAAGAGCCACGTTGACTTTACTAGTCACAAGGTCTTAATGAGTTAGTTTCTGAGATTGGATATGTTTTTCTTCTTAGAGGAGATAAACACTCTACAAAGCAAAGCTATCTAGCTTAAGATCTATGGTATGGAAGTAGATAGACTACGTTTTCTGCTTACGCTCGTCGAGTATCTCCTGCAAAGGGGTTGTGTTGCGGCTGTACTTTCGAGGTATCAATTCCAGTGTGCTCTTTCAGAAGATCGTCTTCCCCATCGTCTTCCCATAACGAGTAGTTCAATACTCCGACGTCTGAGATCGGTGTCTGAGAGTCTGCCACCAAGCAGTACATTGACGATCATTCCATCGTACGAAGGACCGACGTGATCATAGACATGCCTCGCAAATTTCCATGGATTTGCGAGCTTCCCAACACTGAATCAAAGCGATGTCCTGACTTCCTTGTCCTTCGAAGAGGGAGACATCCCATGTTTCAAGGATAGTTTCACTGCAGATATGCCGGTCTTTTCGCAAGCCTACATGTAGAACAGACCTCTCGACTATTACCCGAGCTTTTGTTAGCGACAAGTTGATATGCTCTTTGAGAAGCTCCAGCACGCTGAAAAGTCGCGGAAAACCACCCCGGGGAGGTTTTTGACTACTATTCATGCGCTATTAATACTACCTGCACCAAGCATGAAGAATACTAAACCCTTACGGATATTATGCCAGCGTCCCGATGTGCAGTTGCCTTACATCCTGCAAAAAGGTTTACCTATCTCGAGCTCGAATGGAGTCTTGGGGAGAAACGGATCGCGGAGGCAAAGCGGGTAAGTCACGATGTGTACGCAAGCTACGAGGTAGACGTAGCTAAATCCACAAAGGAGGAAGATAATGAGGGTAATACTGATAGCGATAATGCGCTTGATCTTTTCTAGCAAACTCGTAAGCGTCGTCAGTGGCCCGCCGCTACTTCAGTGTCTACCACGCCGAAGGAATCGCACAAGACTGGCCTGTGAGTCTGATGAGTTTATGGCTAGTGCCAATGAAGCCGATCAGGATGTCGAGAATCCTCTGAAGTGTTAGGTTCACCATGCATCTGACGACAATATCCGCGTGGTCCTGATTTAGCAAAGTGCGTGTACGCAATCCCAAGCCACATTGACTAGATTGACCGCAATGTGCTTGCAGTACGACCCTATGTACTCGTCTCACTGGGTCGCAACTTGCACGCGGTCATCCCTAATCTTACGAGCTGGCCATTTGTGGTGCACAAATTTCTTGATTGACGCAAGGCTGCTATCGAGGCTGGGAAACCTTGTCATCCAACTACTGGTTTCTATGGATCTAAAAATATCGGTCTTTCACAACTCATCTCTACTAGTATGTCGCACCACGACCCGTGTAGCCATAGCCACACGGGTTGTCCCAATCATGCGCAATGCCATACCACGTGCCCCTTGTCTCCTGGCTGTCCCATCCCATGCCCTTGCCAAAGTTGCAGTTGTTGATGACGCGGTTGATGCTCCACTCAGCGTCCTGGCAGGGCATGTAGCCAGTGCGGCAGAAGCCATTGCAGGCGTAAGCGACAACACCGTTGTACGCGCTGCTGGAGACGCGTTTGGCGTTCCCTGCTAGGTTGCCGTTGCCGCATTGATCCATGAGGTCTTTCAGTGCGGCGCGAGCGTTGTCTTGGTTAGACTGGTCGGAGGAGATGCAGTGTGTACCGCTGTTAGAGGCGGAGCAGCCTCGTGCCTTGGAGGAAACCGAGATATGTTAGCTAGTCGCTTTCGTGGACAGGGTCGCAATTGCCCATGCAAGCCTAACCTGAAGGTCGACCGTGGCGGCCATGATGGTGCTGCTCTGGAACAGGAGGGTTCCGGCGCTGATAGTGGCGAAGAAGCGCATGATGGATAGCTTATTGCTGTACAGTACGCAATTCGCTATGAAGACAAGTGTGCTAGACTGAATGAACAGGTCGACCTGTGATGACTCGATGTCGATGGAAAGAGTGTGTACTCACATCCATGGATCACAAGGAACACGTCGTACTTATACACATTGTTCCCACGTTGGCTAGATCACATGACATTGTACTGTGCAAGTGCACTTACTTCTAAGCCGGGAGCTCCTGTATACAAACAACATATTGCGACAATAGTAGTTAGCAATGCACTTAGCATTAGTTATTATTAGTACAAGAATTAACTAATTACACGGCCTGTTTTGCAGCAGAGACTTAGCGCTAAGCTAAGTAACAAAGATAACAGCACGTGTAGATTCTATTTATACCTACTAGATTAAGTTGTTCTATTTCTAGACAGGTAGCGTTATTAGAGTAAGTATTTAATAGCTTACTTAACTAATCTCTCTATATAGAATATACTACCTTCTCTTTTAAGTAAATACTAGTATTATTAGTTCTAATAATTCTAAACGTGCTTATCTGCTCTAGCTTCTATCTAATATCTAGTTCTTAGTTAGTTCTAGTAGCGCGTCTATAGGTAGAATATCTTCTATATTAGTAGAGGTAGCTATTTATCTTACCTAATATTAATAGTACTACTAGCTATAATAAGCGTATATATAATATCTTTAGCTACTATATAAAAAGCCTTCTAAGGTTATTAGAAGATTTACTATAATACGTATCTATACTACTCTATAAGAGAAGGTAAATAACTTATTTTTAGCTCTAGTAGATAGTAGCTTTAAGAGCTATATTAGGTAAAGTAACTATCTTTAATATTAACTTAAGCTCTAGCGTCTAGAAGAGCTTCTATAATATAAATATAGTCTACTATTACTACTATATATATAATATTAGTAAAGCGCTATTTTCTATTAAGATTTACTTCTTAATTAACTATCTATATAGTAGATAGTATAAGTAGCTATAGTCTTAAAAGATATATATTATATAGAACTACTTTATCTAAGCTCTTAGGCCTTTCTATATTACTTTTTAAGCTTAAAGAGTATTTTTTTAATATTTCTTATCTATATATTAAGCTAAGAGTAATACTATCTAAAGGTTTTATAAGTCTAATAATAAACTTTTAAGATATATATCTTACCTTAGAAGACTTAGAACTTTAACTTTATAGATATTATATACTATCTAAGTATATACGTCTTAAGTGCGTTATTAGCTTTTAAGAAGCTAGTTCTATAGATTATTTTAAAAATTAGTTAAAATCTATACTACTTATAGTAGTTATACTATTATTTAGATTAGTAAGAACTATATCTTTATAGTTCTCTTAATATATAGTATAAATAGTACTTTTAAATCTACTATAGATTCTATAATTAGCGCTATTATCTAAAGATATTTTAAAAGCTTTTCTATAGCTTTTTTAGATAGCGTAATAAAAAGTAATACTAAGCCTACTATATTTAATTAATACTAGTAGCTTAGCTAAGTAAACTTTATAAATTAAGTAGAACTAAATAAAGATAGAGTATAGAGATATATATATCTATAGTTATTCTATTAGTTTTTATTATAGATAGCTATAAAGTTATTTATAAGTAATTATAGGTTTTAGTCTAGTCTAGTCTATATATAATAAGTAGCAATAGAAAGTCTTAGATAAAGTCTACCTAAAGAGAATATCTATATATAATAGTTTTATAAAGATTAGATAATTAAGATATATAAAGATAATAAAGTTATTATAGTAAAGAGCTTTAGAAGAAGCTATTAGAAGTAAATATATATTATAAAAGCGTTAGTCTAATATTAGACTAATAAAGCTCTAAGTTTAGAACTATTATATATTTTCTCTCTAAAGTGTCTAAAGTTCTATCTAGACGTAAATAAGAAAGAAAGAAAATAGTAGTACTTCTTAATAAGAAAACTATAATACTTATAGATAGTAAGACTATTACTACTTTACTATAATTATATATAATAATAGATATCTTTTATATCTACTAAAGTACTATAAAAAACGCTATTCTAGCTAAAGCTAATAAGTAGTAAGTAAAGTAGCTATAAGCTATCTTAGAGCTACTAATAGCTATAAAGGCTAAAGTTAGATAGAAATATATATTATAATTTACTTAATAGGCTTTAGAAGTAATATAGCTAAGTAAGTCTATAAATAACTAGCTAGTTCTTTTTAAGTATATAAAGTCTAGTAGCTAGAGTAAAGTAATAGTAAGCTCTTTATTATTATTATAGTTATAAAATATAATATATAGTTTTAGATAGCTAGAATTATAGTTATAGAAGTTCTAAACTAACTTTTTATAATCTCTTAAGTTATAGTAGACTTACTACGCCTTTAACTAATTATTACTAACTTATTCTACTTTATATTATAATAAGCTATACTTACTAGTATAAGAGTTAACTATATTCTATTAAATATAATAGTTAAGAACTTAGAAAATAATAAACTTAGTAATACTATTATTATTAAAGTAGACTTTAGGTAGTATAATATTACTAGTATAAAGCTAATCTAGTAGAGTATTATCTTTATAAACTTAAAGTAGCTATAAATAGAAAATAAAGAAGATAGCTTTAAGCTATAGAGGTAAGTTTAATTTATAAGCTATATTATTAATAATATATATAATTTAATAAGAGCTTATATTCTTATAGTCTAGTAACTTAACTAGTCTTTTAGTATAGATATAGCGTGCGTTTAATATAATCTAGTTACTAATACTAAACTAGAGTATAGAGTACTAGTTTATATTTATAAACTTCTTTATCTTATTTTATATTTATAGAATTTACTATTATAAGAAAATATAAATTATATTAATTTAGAAAGTAAGAGTGTTAGCGTTATACTACTATTATATAATAGTAGAGTAATTATAGTAAAAGTAAATTATACATATAGGCTCTAGCTTAGATCTTAGCTACTAGCTCTTTATAGTAAGAAATAGAAATAAGCCTATTATAAAGCTTATTACTAAATTAGCTCTAAACTCTACTAATAGTAGTAACTATACTTAGTTATTTTATAAGTAATTAATATATAACTATAAGTATTACTTAAGATTAGTATTTATATTTTTAGTCTAACTATCTATCTCTAAGTAGTAAGTAGTAGATAACTTAGAATACGTGCTTACCTACTTATATAACTAGTTTTAGAACTAAAAGATAAACTAGTATCTATAATTAGATATAATTAATCTAGAGTAGCTTTTCTTCTTCTAGATATACTCTATAAACTTATTAATAACTATAAAAATCTTTAGGTTCTTTATAGTAATAAACTTTTTTATCTTAGATAGCTAGTTAATAAAAACTATAATATATTAGTAAGTATATCTATACTAAGCTAACTTAAGTAAAGAAGTAATAAAGTTAATATAGATATTATTTTAGTAGTATATTAGTATAGGTAATAAATATAGTAAGCTATACTTTATAGTATAGTTAACTTTAGAGTATTTATAAGTTTAATAACTATTTATAAAATAAGTAATAGTATTAGTTATATCTTACTAGTAATACTACTAAATAACTTATTAATAAGTAGTAGTATATCTACTATAGTCTCTAGAGAGGCTATTATATATTTAAAATATAATTTAGATTTAAAGTCTTTTACTAAAGAAAACTATAAAACGCTTATTATCTATAAAGAGCTTATTTTTATTAGAAACTTTAAGATCTATAAGCTCTATCTATATACTTTTAGTAATAAAGTAATAGAGAATATAATATTTATTAGCTATAAGAGTAAACTTAATATTTTATAAATAAAAGTTACTAACGTAAAGCTTTAAGATAATCTTCTCTAGTAGATAAGTATTAGCTCTTTTAATATTATTATATAAGTTATAACTACTCTTAAGTAAGAATCTAGTAAGCCTAATATATAGAGTAGTAGCTAATAGTAAGAAGTCTTTATCTATTTCTTATAAAAGAGTAAAAATAGAAAGTAGATTATATAGATTATTATTTATATATAAACCTACTAGTTATATAGTAGCGTAGCTACTTCTATACTAGTAGTAATTACTAAGTATAGTTTAGTACTAATACTAAACCTAGTTATCTATAACTTTATTAGGTAGATTATTTATAAAATAGATAAAGCTATTAGATTTAGTGCTCTATTTATCTAGCTTATATATAATATTAAAGTTAAACTTCTCTAAGAACTATACCTATTAAGCTTAGTAGTAGTTAAATATTTATTTAAAATAGAAATACTTAAGTACTTAATAGTTAGTAAGTATCTCTACTATAGTAGAGACTTTTATAAGCTTAGAATACTATTTTTTAAATACTTTAATAATAGCTAAAAGTTTCTTATTATATATTTTATAGTTATACTCTATTAGCGTTATTTTCTTAGATAAGTAGATAATAGAGTATATAGAGCTATTAGTTTATACTTAAAATAGAATAGCTATATAAATATAGTTAAAAGTATCTATTTCTAAGATATACTTTAAATTAGAATTAAAGTAGACTAAGATAATATTACTATAAAAGACTACTTTTAATATAGTAAAAAATCTTTTAGCTTCTAAGTTTATCTTAAACTACTTAGAGTTACTATAGATAAAATTTATTAAAAGTTTAGTAATATTAAAAAACCTATAAATAAAGTATTAATAGAAGTTTATAAATCTAAGAAAAGTTTATATATTCTTAAAAGACTAAAAGAGCTTCTACTTCTAGATAGCACTAACCTTCTCTAGGTCTATTATAATACTATTAGTAGTAATAATAAGTTTTAGAAACCTTACTTTAGTTTTTATAAATTTAGACTTAAGAATATTTATAGATAATTTAGTATATACTAGCTATATAACTACTTATATAAGGTAATTCTTATATTACTAAAGTATTTTACTAAAGATAATAATATTATTTAGGTATACTATATAGAACTTATTAAGATATTTATAAAAAATATTATTAA